AATGACTTCTGAAATATCTCATAAATTTGAATAATTGACAATTTACTCTGCGTAGGAGGTATTTTTAAGAATCACGTCGTTTTTATGCGCTACTCCGTCTGGAAACCACTGTGATAAGTGATCTCTTGCAGAAATGAATTATTGGCACATATTATTATTATTGTTATTATTCTGGCTGTGTTCTTTTCTTTTACATTTACAAGAACAGTTGAGTTTAATCGGCTGAATTCTCTGCACCAGATTGGCTAGATGCAACACTCCTCTGTCCTGGTTTCTAGTATATCCAATGGAATACGAGTGTGTTGAGTAATGTTGAGAAAAACGGTTAGGTTAGGAGGGAAAGTAAGTCTGTGTGGCTGTGGAACTACATCAATTGAGATGACTAGGATACATGGTATTCATTTCCCAAGCGATAGTCTTTTTCATCGAGTAGTGTTAGCTGACAAAGCAATTAGGCTGGAAAAGAGTTAGAGGTGGTCAAATCAAAGCCTTTAACCAGTACTTTGAGCCGAGTATGGAGATGCACACTGTCTGGCTGAGCTTTCCGAAATGCTAGGAACTAACTGCTGATGAAATGGCTTAATGTTGCAGATGTATTCCTTTTTTTATGAACTATCAAATCATTTACGTTATTATTATTGTTTTAATTCTTTCTATCACAAATTTCTATCAATCATAGTTCATTTGCACCCTCCTGTTTTTTTCCTCCTCATCTATTCGTTTTTTACGAAGTGTGGAAACTTGAAATGCTGCATTTTTATGCAAAGTTCTATTCTGGAAACTTATAATTTCTAGCGTCTTATTCACATTTGAATCGACTGAATGAAATGTTGGTTGTAACTTCATCAAGTTTTCTGAAGCAAACTATTCGAAATGCCAATATCCATGTTTTTACTTCTTTTGTCTCCTTTATGGCTGTGACTGAGATATTGCCACTGAGAGTGGAAGACATGAAAAGATTAGCTGTCTTTGATCATAGGTGCCTGCGCTCTATCTCCGGTGTGAAGTGGCATTATAAGGTGAGCAATATTGAGGTTAGGCGTCGAGTTCTAGGTAAGGAGGGGAAACCAATCGACGGGGCTGTGAAGTTACATAGACTGAGATGGTTAGGACATGTGTTACGCATTTCTGCCTAGTCATCGCCTTCCTCGATGGGCAATGTTAGCTAACATAGGGTGAGGTTGGAAAAGAGCTAGCGGCGGTCAAACCAAAACATGACGGCACCAGTCAATGAAATCTACAACAGTTTGCTTAAACCACGTAGGAAGGTGTAGACTGGCTTCCTGGTTGGGATCCTCGGGACGGTAAAAACCAATGGTTGGAAACAATTGGTGATATGGCTCAAAGTGATCGTTCTCAATGGCTGGTGCAGATGCATCCACTCCTTGTGATTTATGATTTCCAATGAAACTGTATTGTTCTTCGTTATTACTATTCGTTTTGTCTCATATCTCTGCCTACTGTCTCTATTATGCATTTCTTCTCTTGCTTTGTGTGTTACATAGAGTGTGGCGACTTGAACTGCCGTACATTGGTGCAAAGTTCTATGTTGAAAACAGACAGACAGACTTCTTTTGTAAATTAAGCTAAACTATGCATCAGTGTTTTGTCCACTAGTGCACTGCACACATATATGTTCTTTTTCTTTATTTTATTTGCACTTGATTCTTCTAAAATATTTAGTTTTAAAAGAAACTGAATTATACGTTTTAAATTATCGTTTATTTGAGTAACTCATTAGATTTATGCCAGTTTTTACAATGTTGATATTTGAAAGTGTTATATGTCTGTGTTTACATTGAGAATGAAATTGAAATTTATATGAAACATCAAGATGGACTTGGAAATCGATGACGTGAAAGTCTCAATACAAGCTAAGACTGAAATAAGATTGGAAAATACGCTACATACTTACTTAAATAAAAGAGATACACATAATGGTCTAGTTTGCTCACTTAATAACCGAACAGCGTAAACATTTCTATTAGAATATTGCAGAGCAGGGCTTCTTGTTGACAAATTAGTATGAAAAAGCTAATCAGTGATGATACTATGAGATGCGAATAAGTGTATAATTTATCTGTGAAATGAATCGTAAGTTTGAAGGACGTTGCTTCCCTTCTCTAAGGCGAATGGTTTAATTGTGAAAGAAACGCCTGCAATAACTGAAGAAGCCAGAAGGTATTATTTTGTAACTTTCACTGAGGACTAATAGAAATGTAAGTCCACTGTGATATCTACGATATCATGATGTGCATGTTCTATCAGTGAAGCCTAGTATTGACTTTTAAAATATAATCATCTCTAGGTGGTCAGAACTAACAATATTAACCAAGTCTCCGTTTGCACACACAGGTGTTTTATTGAAGTTTTAAATGACGCTTATGTTGATTTTGCATATACCGCTTGTGAGGAATTTCAGAGTGAATTATAAATTTTAATGTACAAAAATGTTGGTTAGATAGAATATTCTCTAAAATATAAAAAATGAACGGTAATCACATTTATGATCATTTGGTTGCTCATCATTTCGCCTCTCAGATTTCTACATTCTTCATAAATGTTCTTAGCTTAAAAGCTGAAATGCACTTGATTTAGCTGCCCATCAGAAGACCTGATGGTAGTTTAAAAATGAATTCGCATTGAAAAAAGTGCACATCTTCATAGCTTTGTTCCCTTCCTGTACAAAAGACCTTCAGCTATAGAGTTGGGGCTAATTTTTCAGATTTGATTGTTGACTAACTTAGTGTTGTATACGATTGGAAACAGTTCCCCTGAAGACTTCATCACGAAACACATATGACTGAGAGGGTAGAAAAATATTTCCGTATATTTGCTAACAGGAAGCCTTTATAAATGAGAATACAGTTGAATGGTGATGCACCAGGCAGTATAATAACCAACAAGTTGAGAAAATTGATTCACAGAATGTTTAATGCTGGTAAACTGCAGCCTGTATTTTCCCTTCTGTCAGTTATGATTCCTCAGCTGAGAGACTAATTGCCTAGGCTAATCACTTCTTCTTGCATCTATTAATTCAACTACCTCTGTGGGGCCAGTAATATTGACCATAGTTGTAGGAACTTATTTTACGTCCTTGGAAACACCTACCAGTGTGTCTGAATAGAAGTGAAGTTAAAACCAACCACAGTTCTATATTAGAGCATCTTGTCCAAACAAGCCACAAAACTGGCATTGAAGAGTACTTTTCTGTTATCTGTCAGATACCGCATAAATTATCAAAGGACTTTAGATACCGCTTTCTTCAAATACCAGAGGCTATTGCAATTCGTCTAAAACAACAGTAGCTCTGCGTGCAAAAGAAACAGGTTCAATCACTATTGCTACCTTGACTTACTTCGGAAGCTATAGATGCGTAAATTCTCCGCTTAATTCACCTGCTCTGTTGATGCATATTGTAACTTATAGATGCTTTTGAACTGTATTCTATTGGCACTATTGATTCAGTTTAATTTGAAACATTAACGTTGGTAATAACTATAATTTTTTAATTATAATGATCATATAACTGTAAAACCTGATGAAGTCATTGATAAGAATGTTTTCTGTTCACCAATCAGTCTTATAAAATTCTGAGTCTTTTGATGATATATTGGTAATTTATGACTGTTACAGAGAATTAATATTATTTCACTTTTTAGAAATTATTATTATTATTGTTTCCTTTAATTCGTAGAGGAACATAGGGTTTCAGTCGCGTGTCTCCATTGTGTTCGGTTCTCTGCTAGAGTTTTCACCTGGCTCCAAGTCTACCCACATGCTTTCATCTCCTCCTCACATGACCTCCTCCATGACACCCTCTCACTGACGACCAACTCACCACTTCCCTTTCCGGTTCCACTCGAGGGCTTGTCTAGTGATACCACTTGATGGTTTCCTCAGAGTATGGCCAATCCATCTCCATTTCTTCCTGCATATTTGTTTCACATTCGGTTCCTGCTGGGTTGGTTCGCTCATTCCCAGAGATCCCTGTTTCTGTTCTTTTCTGACCGGCCATCAGATCTTCAGTAGTATTGAGCGAAGACAGCTGTTAATGAAGGTTTGAAGTTTGTTTGAGATGCTCTTTATGACTCACTAGCCAAGTCTCTGATCCGTATAGTAGCACTGACTTCACATTGGAGTTGAAAATCCGGATGTGATTTTTGATGGTGAGTGCTGTTGACCTGTACACAGTCTTGAGAGTAGTGAAAGCTTGTCTTGCTTTTCCGATTCTTGCTTTGATATCCTCGTCAGTAATGTTCCTCTGTAGTTGAAACGATGCTTCCCAGGTCGTTAGGTAAAGGAGGTTGCTTCTTTGAAACTCCTCCCATTCATGCTGATTGTTGTCTGTTGGTGTTGGCCAGGAATCTTCATCACCTCTGTTTTCTCAATGTTCACCTTAAATCCTGTCTTTGATGCTTCTTCTGCCATATATATTACCTGAAATAATAGGGAAGATTTGTAGCTCAGGTGGATGATTTGCAATTAATAGTGTTCTCTGAGCTGAGCTCCACAACTAAACGAACCAGCTCAGAGAACACTATTAAATTGCAAATATATATTACCTAGTGAAGCGATTCTACTTACTAGCATATATCTAATGAGTAAACTAATATGGTATTACAGACTACCACACTACGACGTTTTTATTCATCCAACAACCAAAATAAATGATTTTGTTTTCTATGTTCAAGTTAATACCTTTTTACCATGAATTCTTGGCTTGACACTTAAGAAAACCTCTTCTCCTGAGTATTAATAAGAGCGCTTGCTACTGTATAGAAACTATTTTTGTAAAATGTCATAGTTATTTACGACTTCATTTCAGCGTAATTAGTACAATGTGAATGAATCGTTATCACATATTCAGCAATTGAACGGAACCATTAAAGCTTTCATAAATGATTCTATATTGCTTTGTTGACTTTGTAGAAAGAAGAGAGTTGTCTGCCAACTTTGCTGTTTTATTTTTTCTATCATATTCACTGTATAACTTTCAGTAAAACAAAGCAGTAAGATTTAATACTAATGTTAATTTATATATATATATATATATATATATGGCTAAAATTTTCTTTGTTTTTTTAACGTTTTATAATTATAAATATGTCATATTCTTTGTCTTTGCGGTAAGTTGAACTGTAGATGTAATATTAATTAACATTGACTTATGCGGTAATTATTATTCTGTCTAATAGGAAATGAAGTAATAACAAAACATCTTTCTCCAGGAATTAATATTTTAAAAAAAATATAAATCGTGTTTTGTTCAAGTTGTGATTTGTTTTGTGGTATATAACTAAATACAAAAAAAATCAACCAATCAAAAATGAGTAAAATGATACACTATTATAAATCTCTACTTACATTTGAGTATATAAAGGAAGCCATAATACAGAAACAAAGCTGAAAATTTATCTGATAATTAGGCATGCTTTGGAGTACCGCTTTACCTCCCACAGTAGCATTCGTGTTTACTATCCTAGTAACATTATTCCAAAATAAAGCGGAATGTAGAAAATCTTCACTGGATGTTACTAACCCTGAGACATGGAAAAAGTTAGCTGATAAGAAATTTGAAAAATTTAAAATGACCCATGCATATTCAACGGTTAAACATCCAAAGAATGTTATCTTATTCCTTGGAGATGGAATGAGTTTGAGCACAGTGACGGGTGCAAGATATCTAAAGGCAGAGAAAATGAATCTTCAAGGTGGTGATGTCGAGTTAGCATGGGAAGATTGGCCTGTTGCATCACTTGTTCGTACATTTAATTCAGACAGATTGACAACAGATTCTGGGTCTGCTGCTACAGCGTTTTTGTCAGGTTAGTGCACATATATATATATTGTTTATTTCATGATGTTTAATATTTTTAAATTACTGTACTAATTGTTTTAAGCTTTTAAGTATTTATGCACATGTTCGTGAAATTATCCCGTTTCGAGTATAGATAGAAATAAAAACCGTGATGTTGGCGACACGCTAATCAAAAATGATTGTTTATTTCATAGTGACTATAAAAAATCCTTCAGTATTAGTAAAGGATTTAGTCAGTGCAGGAATTAATTCATAAATTCATTTTTATAGGTGTTTTTTATAGAAATTTTAACACCGAATTCTCACAGTAGCATTTCACTGTTATGTGACGGTTAACATAGAGGTAATACACTTCAGTTATGCGGCAGACTATGCTCTATCATTTTAAATATTTGGTTGTAAAATTAAATGTCTAGCTAACTGACAACAGATTTTCATCTCTGAAGTAAGTTCCATGTCTCACACGCAGTAGATATTTCTGTATGTATAGAAGAAAAAGATATTTAATATCCTTCATAATAGTACTCACTCTAAAACAGTTAAATGATAAGTGGTATCAAGTGATTGAAGGTACATTGTGCTAAATGTTTTGTTCTATTAACTAAATATTTTATGGTATTATTGTTATTTTTACTCAGGTGCAAAAGGGAGTTTTGAAACTGTTGGTGTTACCGGTAATGTGAGTTGTTGCCAATGCACTGAACTGAAAGAAGTAGAAAGAGCAAAATCTTCACTTCATTATGCATCTAAAGCAGGACTGTCTACTGGAATAGTAACAACTACTAGGGTTACTCATGCAACTCCTGCAGCCTCCTATGCTAACATATTGTATCGAGATTGGGAGGGAAGTGGGTAAGCACCATTTTGTGTTTATATTTAATTCTCTTTGAATACACATGCATACTGATTTGGTGTTTACAGAGTGAATATTATTTCCATTGAGTTTTAACTGGACTTTTTAACTTGCTAGTCCTTATAACTTTAGAAGTGTTTTCAACCGACTACAGATGAAAGATGTCTTCCATGTGAACCAGGGACATGTAACTATGGTAGATTAATAACCGAATTACAATATTATGGCTACTTTTGAAAGCTGTTATTTTTAATGAATGTTAAATCGTGTTCCTAGTGGTCGCCCTACCTTCAATACACTTAATTTAAATAAGATTTCCAAATATTATTGTGTATTCTGAAACCATACTCATAGGTCCTTCGTGCTTCAAGTATTTATCAATGCATTTCGAAAAAAAATTCTACGTAATTTAGAAAGTCGGATGAAAGCGCTGTTAAGTTTACTTTCGATAATTTTGCACAATTTAATCAAGTGGGATACTGAAACAGAACTGAGTTTCATGCATAGTTAATCAGTTGGTTGTTGAAATGTATTAACCCTTGAGCAATAACTTTTTAGGGGACTACTCATGCCAATGTGTTTAGCATCCTTACAGGTAGTTTCTTTTTTTCTTTCCTTCACGTTCCCCAGGGGAACATAGGGCTTCAAGTTAGTGGCTTGAAGTTTCTGTAGCAGTGTTTATTTTACAGGATGGGGTTTCTAGCCTCATGCCCAAGCTTTCCTCTTGACCAGCATTATTTCTGGTTTAGCGAGGTAAAGGAGTGCGTCGGTGGCCGGGGATCCAGCCCCGGACCATGTGCATGATCGGCGAGCGTTCTTACTGCTATGCCACCGACACTATAGGTAGTTTGGAAGATATTTTTCTCTCGAAAGTCTCCTCATAAGTTATTATTGTCTACTAATCATTCCTATATTACGTAAGTGAAAACTGATGTCTTTTGAAACCCAACAAATATCGTTTTTTAGTGAGCCACATTTAAATGGAGACAGTAGTACGTTTCTTACATTAAAACGGCTAAATAATCCTGTTAACGTAAATAGGATGCACAAGACAATCTGCATTTTCATTTCTAGTTTAGTACTTATTAGAAGTGCTTGTAAGACATCCAAACACTTTAAATATTAATACGGAGGACGAATTGCCTACAACATTGGATTACGTACTTGCAGGAATCATAATAACCGTTAAATTTCAAGTGTCCAAATCCTATAGTTTCGTAGTTCATTATGTTGTGAATTAGATAAAACGGCGGTTTCTGAAGGTTCTGTGAAACTTAACGATAAGTGAAGAAGAATGATTATACCAAGTCAGTGACTTCCTGTCGACTGATCGCTAATGTCTGCCATCCAAAATAGTGCACTGAAAATCCACATCACTTACACTAATGGCTACATTCGAACACAAACCAACGCACAAAGTGTACAATTACTCTGGTCAACATTCATTGACTGATATATATTATTTGCTGGTGATTTCATATTTTCCTTTTATTTTTTCTTTGTGCATGCCGGCTACCCAATAGTTACTACCTCTCACATAACTTTTCATAATCTGTGAGAAACTTCATAGTCGCTGCTAGTAGTTTTTTTAGAATCTAGATTTATATTAATGGTTTGTTTTTAAGGACCTGGAGTAATTCCCATGTAGACTTTGTCACGAACCGATATCAGTGATTGAAAACCAGGGAGCACTGTTGAACTGGTTCGTCCTGTTTCGAGACTATTGAATAATGCATATCCACGACCCAATCAGGTACCGAACTCGGGACCCTCAGGTCACCAGAACAAGCTCGTTAACCATCCAACCCTTTTGACCGGGTATTCAGTGACCCGTGAATTCCAACTATGTCAATTCATGATATAACAGGATATTCATACTGTAACCATCAGTGACCTGGAGGTGGATATTCAGATTACGGGGTTTTTTGTTTCCGTTTGTTTTGCCTTCTTTTCTCGTGAACTACCAGAATAATTGGTGTAATGAAAAGAAGGAGATAATAATTATTTTTTCACTATTCTTAACCTAATCTCCCTCAGAGCAACAAATGACAAAGGATATAAATGTGTGGATGCTGCTGCACAACTTCTAACGAATGGTTCTGATATTAACGTTGTAATGGGAGGTGGAGCATCAGTATTCTATGGACCAAATGAAAGCATCGCTTTTCGATCCAAAGGAAGACGGAAGGATTCACGTAATCTCCTACAAGAATGGCGACAGATTCAGACTCAAAAGCAGCGCAAGCATGCTGTGATACATACAACTAAAGAGTTTAATCAAACAGACTGGTCGTCTGTTGATTTCGTTCTGGGTAAATCTAATTAGTTTTAATAATATTCTATGGATTATTATTCACTGAAAATATTTTGACATGACTAAATATTTATAAACTATCTGCGGAATTATTTACAGATTCGATCAAATTGACAAGATCATTCAGTTTAAAATGGGGTCGTTGTGACAGAATATATGAAATTTAGATTTATTAGCTGCATAACAGTACAGCACATGATTAACTGATGGTCATTCAGATAAATAATTCAAACTTCTATCTTTGCTATTCCTTTGCTATCTGCAGCCTAATGGCCATATTAAACTGAACTATGAATAATAAATACGTTTCAATGTTTAACACTGTTAGTCTAGAGGGTTAGAAGATGAAATTTAACAAAATGTATTTGGAAATGTAGGATCTTTAACAACTTAGCTGTAAGATGTGTCATCGATGTATATCCGCTTTCGTGATGATAAAATGCTCATTGTTAAGAAAAATAAATTCGCAGCTTTTCAGGAAACCACTGAAACCTACTGAAATACAAAAAAAGCCTTTTACTCATTAACATTTTTGAATTTTCTGATACAATCTGATGTTGTCAGTCATTATGTGACTTGGAAAATAGGACAAATACAAACACGTTTCATGTTTGACAATACTAAGTTGGAAAATGAATATTTAAGTCATATTTGCAATGCTTATTACTGATTCAGTGTATATTTCATACAAATATATGAAATATTTAACCCGTTATATATCTACATCGCTTATAATTCAGGTTTGTTTGCTCCAAATCATCTGGACTACTATGTTAATAATGCAGACCAACCAACTTTAGCTGATATGACAGAAGCTGCAATCAAAATATTATCTCGTAATCCAAAAGGATTTCTTCTCTTAGTGGAAGGAGGTCGAATCGATCATGGTCATCACACCAGTCAAGCACAGTGAGAAATATTTTTGATTTTATCACACTATTATTAGCTTTTATCATCATCACTACTTTTTTAATTGTGGCGCTTAAATTCATGAGGAGTAGAACAACATCTGTCTTTTATGATAATTCGCATTGATTCATGACTAATGGTTATCTGAGAATTAATGTAAAGGTAGACTTACTACTTATGGGAAGATTTCATTGGTACTCCTCCTAACTGATAAGACATACCCTTATAATCGATATGAGATCTTTCTCCCCCTGACTTCTATATTAGTAAATAGTTCAGACGTACTGTGAAGTTGGAGCTATGCGATTCTACTTTTAGTAAACATGTTCAATGATGAAACAGAAATTTGGTAGGAAACAGATTATTGTAAATAGAGATGAAATTTCCTCATGATTGTTCGTCTAACAATAATGTAGGCGAGGAAACCGATCACAACTGAAGAAGATTCTGATGTGATTGTGTTCTGTCGGCCGAATGGTTCAGTTGAAAAGCATTCATTGTCTTCCTAGAAAATATCCAGCCTAATGAACATACCCACTTCAAATTCATCCACTTTAGCTGCTAATCTTGCGCATTATTCCAAATTCTGAAGAACAATATGATGTCAAAAGTTCTGTTTCTATTCAGATTTTGTGTTTTGTAAATGTGATTGCAATCGCTGTCAGAAGTGAACGCCCATGCACTGGTTTTACATCTGTTCATTACATGAGACTAATGAATGTATCTTACTTGTTTCCATCTTTTCTGATCGACAAGTCTGGATACATTTCAAATCATAAAAACCATAAAATCACACACAGTTGGAGCTATACGATTCTACTTTTAGTAAACAAGTTCATTTTCTTTGAACTAAGTCAAACCATCATGAAAATGTGTTTGCCTAAAAAGCCAGAAGGCATATTCATAGTTACGCATTTCATTACAACCATTAGAAACACTGAAACTAATGCCTAATAAAAGACAATCTGATCTTTCATGTTTATGAATGCGGGTAGGAAAATTTATATTTTTATTTTGGATGGACATGCGTGTATATTGTTTCATGATATTACCTAATCATATTGTCTCATCCGTTGTTAAATATTCAAATCAGATGTGACAAATGTCTACATCCTGCTATACACTAAGCAGTGTTACTCAATGTCTCTTTATTGTCAGCGATTACCAAGTAAAACTATGACTCAGTGGAATAGTTAGTCAAAAGGAAATGAGAATGAGAAATGAAAATAATGAAAATAAAAATTAGTAGGGAACATTGATGAAAACACTGGTGAAAGTTCTCATGACTGTTTGCATTAGAGAGTAATATCTGAGGATAGACCGGTAAACATAGAAATAAGCCGTATGGATGCAGTCGACCTATTGTGTTTCACTTCTTAATTAAGTTATTGCTCAAATTATCATCACCCCGACTCTACAAAGTCAATCACCCAATTTTAAAGCTTCGAGGATAACAAGTAATTTTTATCATTATTATCTTTTGTCGACACTTGATTTGTAGGAATTAGATTTACTTTTATGAGTTGATCAAGGATTGTTATCAGTTAGAGAACCATTGAAAATCGCCAAAGAGTACTGGAAAGCTGTCACATCCTAGTTTCAGAATCATCGGAAGTACGCGTCCACCACAGATGTTCGAAACCAGGACCTACCGCTTACAAGGAAAGCTCCTATACCACTCAACCACTGCGACCTGATTCAATGGCCAACCCATGAATTCTAACTTCTACCAATTCGTGATTTAGCGCGACTGGCACCAACCAATGTCATCGGTGGGAACTCCATCGTCACTCCCGATTGGATGGGCTTCACTGGTCACAACTTTTCACTATAACTCCAGGAAACTCTGTCCTGTAGCAAGTCACCAGCGAGAGTTATCATTATTACTCAATTTTATTTTATTATTTTATGCGGATAGGTATGCCTTGTAACCGGAAGGTCCTGGGTTCGAATCCCAGTGGGTGCGTACTGCCGATGATTCCCAAACTAGGATGAAACAGCAGCTGTCCAGTACTCCCTGGTTTTCAATGGTTCTCTAACTGATATCAATCCGTGATCAACTTGTAAACACATAACTAACCCTTACAAACCAAAACTATAGAAAATTTTAATTCTATTGGTTATTTTATTCTAATATTTTTCATATCGAATGAATCGAACTTCCATGCAAAATTGTACTCAACTTTGGTTATAAACTTACATTTTTAGTTTACTATCTGTCACTATTTTTTCATTTATTCTTGACATAGGAGATTATTTCATCCAAATTCTAATATAACCTTTGTTTTTGGTTTATTTATTTCAAATGAAATATATAGATATGCATTAACTGAAACCTTGGAAATGGAAAAAGCTGTCGAAAGAGCACTCAGCCTGGTTGATCCATCTGAGACACTGTTAATGGTTACAGCTGATCATGCACATGTTTATGGAGTAGTTGGTTACGCTAAACGAGATACAAGTATATATGATGTGGATAGCACTAAAAAGGTAATTCAAAATCATTATTATTATTATTATAAAGTCACCATATATATGTGTGTGTGTGGGTGTAAACAGTAATGCTTGTCTACTGTACTTAATGCTGGTAGTACAGAAAAGGCAGTATTTCGAAGTCACACACAAAAAACAACTCATAAATATTGCATTTTTAATAAGGCAATATCAAGATTTATTAAAGAAGAAAACATATTGTGAAAGACTTCCAAAGATGATCTATAGAATTCTACCTTTAATAAATTAATTCATATTAAATACACTAAAAGACTTTTTTTACTTCCTTTCACGTTCCCAGTGGAACATAGGGCTTCAAATTAGTGGCTTGAAGTTTCTGTAGCAGTGTCTAATTTTTACAGGATGGGGTTTCTAGCCTCATGTCAAACCTTTCCTCTTTAGCAGCATTATTTCTGGCTTAGCGAGGTAAGAGTTCGTCGGTGGCGGGGGTTGAACCCCGGACGATGTGCTTAGTCGGCGAGCGTCCTAACCTCTGTGCCACCGAAGCACACTAAAAGGCTTACTACGTGTTAATCCACTAACAGCTATTTTATTCTTATTCAATGGAAAGCAGAGAACTTATATTCACTAACTCTGTGGATATAAACAGAACTTTTGTAGATGGGAGGTTGAAATCAACTGGTGTAGAATAAATGAAGCAGTTTGCGACGCCAGCTTACAAAACATTGGAATTATTCAGTAACAATATCTACTTAGAAGGCAGTAATGAATTGCTTTGAAAGTGCTTGTAATTCTATTACTTTGGAAATATATTAGCTTAAGAAAAATAATGCTCTACAACTATTTCCATTCTCTTTAACATTGAAAATTTTCTTGACCTTTCTTATTATTACACATAATGTTACAGGTCATAATCCAACCAAAATTTAAGTCATTATTTTTTATTGATTTTTAGCATTTTACAGCTACTTTAATTGTACAATAGCAATAACCACTGGATATGTTTACTGTTATTATGTAGCGGTTACTCTCATAACTTTCTACGGAGACACTGTTTCAGTTTGCATACAATATTATGAAAATAAAGAAAATCCAATATCTTTTTGCTTTTTATACTTTAGGGGAATGACAATAAATCCTATTTGATATCTACGTACTTCAATGGACCAGGAGGTCTCTTGGATAAACCTCGGTCGGATCCTGCACTGGAGCCTAATCGGTTTGATCCTAGTTATATTGCTCAGTCACTTGTCAATGTATCCTTTGGTACACATAGTGCTGAAGATGTTCCAATTTATGCCTTGGGTCCATTTAGTGAACTGTTCCACTCTCCGTGTGATAATACCTTCATAGCACATGCCACTATGTATTCACTTTGTGTTGGACCATACGCCGATGAAACACATTGTTCAGGTGACCGTAATGCATCCTATCGGAGTGTATTTCAAATGAAATATTATTTAATTTTACTAAGCCTTATTCTATACTATTTTCTTCACTAAAAAAGGTATTGCTGGTGAATTCATCTGAAATTCTAACAACTAATCACAAGTGTATTAAATAATTATTATATATTAGTGATGCAAATTTATTCTATGAGCCGTTGTCATGTTTTACTTTTGCAATGTTATTAACTGTATCCCTTATTTCTCTTATGTTAGAGAGTATATCTTAGCATACCCGAAGATTTCAGTTTTTCAGGTGTATAACTGTGATAAGTCGTCACTGCACTCCTTTTTTGACTGATGTATTTATTTGTTTATTTATTATCATTTTTTGAACAATATTTTCATCTCAAATGAAGAATGATTATGTAATTAAGTTTCACAGATACCACAATCACTTCTTGTAGTTGTCGTTTTTCTTCCTGGTTACTTTCTTTAAAACTCACCCTCTTTTTCAAAAGTTTAAAGAGTTAAAGTATGTAACAAATCCAACTTTATTGTTGTGTCGGTAATAGAAGGAGAGAATAACGCTGGTGATAAACAACGAACGAACGAACGCAAGATAATTCTGTGTAAGGATTTTCCATCTATGTTACCAGGGATACGAGTGAATAAAATTCTTATTATCCTATGCTTTTATCGATATTGTTTTCTTTTCATGTGTTGATACCAAACTATACTGTTTAGAAAATCGTTTTATACAGATAATCTTGTGAGAAATTTGCATTGCTTTTGTCATTCAACTTGATTATAGTGAAATTCCAAAATATCATTGAGTAGTCAGTATTCGCATGACTATTGCATGACTTTATCAAAGCCACTTGTAAAATTAAAAATTAATTTTTGTTTTTTTTTAATTCTAAATATCAAAGTTTGGGGTGATTTTATTATTTTATTATTTTAATTCATAGCAGGTTTTTCATTGCAATATACCAGTTCATAATTTGATATTTTATGATTGATTTGGTTGTTATATCTTAAAGTTGGTCAATATGCACCGTGGCATTTTCTAGCTTTTCTGTAAGTGATAATAATATATTTCTGTTATTTATGGTATTCTTACTGTGTTGTTATTACGTAATAGTCACTCATCCTTACTAAACAGGACGTCCACTAGTAGTCACTTGAATAAGTAGCTTATTTAACTTGTAAGTAACGATAACGAAAAACAAATCAAAGCGACTTCATCATATAAGAATATTCTTGAAAGAGAAACACATCTGAATCGAATAGTAGGTTTATGTAATGTTAGGTAAAATGTTTCTGATATTAGCTAAATAATATGACTGAGCTAGGGAATCTGAGAATGCGCATGTCGTCAAGCACAAAGAAAAGTATGAAATAGCATCATAGATTTGTCGGATTTTTTGTTTTCATTCCTTTACGTTCCCAGTAGAACATGGGGCTTCAAGCTGCAGACATGAAGTTTAAGTAGTAGTGGTATTTACTTCTACAGAATAGCGTTGATAGCCTCATCCCCAACCTTCCCCATTTACCAGTGTTATTACTGTCTTAGCAAGGTAAAGGAGTGTGTCGGTCGGGGATCGAACATCAAACCACACGCGTAGTTCGCGAGCATTCTACCACTGTGCTACTGGCGACTTGCTGGATGGGTACTCACCCATTATAACAAAATTCAAAATACTTGAAGCAATTGAAAGCTAGATGGAAGTCAATTATTATTTAATGAATTCAGACGAATATATTTCATTTAGTTCCAGTTGTAGTTTAGTCCCTGGAGGATCCGCTACACATTCATTATTTGTAAATGAATTCAGTCTCATAAATTTTATATTATAAGGAGCTTAACAACTTAGTTTTCTACATAAGTGACAAGAAAAATGTAAATAAATTCCTTTATATCTTGTGTAAACATTCAACGACTATCATATTGTTAGACAGATACAAGGTTGGTTATGCAAGAGTTCAACGGGCTGTAAATCTTTACAGTGCAAAAGACAATACAGCCTGTAACAAATTATCCGAGGTGTAGATATTCCTCAATTATCTCATGCTTGGTGAAATGAATGTTTACTTCTTATTTAGGAAAAAGATTTATTTCGGTCAGCTTTGAAGTAATATTTCCAATTGGAATGCGATGCACAGAATAAATAAAAAAAACAACATTAAATAAACTAACTGCCAACTGTTCGAGACATGTTACATTTGATGAAATAGTATTGAAATATATTACTACTGATATTAACTTGGTGTAATAAAGTAATATCTTTATTGCACTTATTTTACTTAAACTAGAAAGTTATTTTCAACAGTTGGTTTGTAAGGATTAGATTTGTTTCTACAAGTTTGATCACGGATTGATATCAGTGGTTTTCTAACTTGATATCAATCCGTGTTCAAACTCATAAAAACAAATCAGATGCTTACAAACCAACTCTTAAAAATTAATCTGATGCTCGTTAGTGATTTGCTATAGGATAGATTTTCCTGGAGTTATAGTGAAAAGTCGTCACCAGTGAATCCCATCCAATCGGGAGTGAGGATGGAGTTCCCACCGATGACATTGGTTGGTGCCAGTCGCGCTAAATCACGAATTGGTAGAAGTTAGAATTCATGGGTTGGCCATTGAATCAGGTCGCAGTGGTTGAGTGGTATAGGAGCTTTCCTTGTAAGCGGTAGGTCCTGGTTTCGAACATCTGTGGTGGACGCGTACTTCCGATGATTCTGAAACTAGGATGTGACAGCTGTCCAGTACTTTGTGGTGGTATTCAATGTTTCTCTAACTGATGTCAATTCTTGGTCGAACTAGTAAAGAGTAAGTTATTGTTAACAAAGATTAAGTGAACATTAAATATCCAATAACGACTTAGATACATTCTGGTTAGTGGTAATGAAATTCTCAAGATGTACATTTTCCGACTGGAAATGTTTCACCCGAAGATTTACGACTATTTCAGCTGTGAATGTTATGCCGTTTTACAGAAATTTCACCATCCCAGTTGTTAACACAGTAATACATGTTATCCTCTTGGAATCAGGCCTTCAGATTTTATTTTGATCTGATACTGGTAACTAGTGTGGTGTTTCTAGTCTTCTCTTTAGTGCAGACTGAATTCTACCAGTCAGGTTGTAATATGGTCACCATTCTAGGTTGCTCGCGATCACGGTGCACATTGTTTTGATATTAGATGGTTGGAGGTAATCGGCCACAGGAAGCCTTGCCTCAACTAGGTTTCGTGCTACTTGGCACTAGTCAGGAAGGCGTATCTTCAGTCTTGAAGAAACTCATGTCCCTTCTGAGATTCGAACCCGCGTCACCCAGTGCTGTAGTCAGAGACGTTATCACTGAGCTATTACAACTTGACTGATAGAATTCAGTCTACACCAATCAGAGGACTAGACGCATCACACTAGTTACTAGTGTCAAATCAAAATATCCACTACAGTCCTGCAGGAGGTCAATCGTGAGCCCGAATAGCTCAGTGGTAACATCTCTGACTGCAGCACTGGGTGACGCGGGTTCGAATCTCAGAAGGGACATGAGTTCCTTCAAGATTGAAGATACGCCTTGCTGACGAGTGCCAAGTAGCACGAAACCTAGTTGAGGCAAGGCTTCCTGTGGCCGATTACCTCCACCATCTAATATCTTCAGAAGTTATTTTGTTAGCTTTTAGAAATGAATACTGATAGTTAGAAACTAATTACGTCACAGCGCATATCCTGTAACTGAATTTTAAATACATACAAGAAGATTAGTCACTAAAAGCATGAATATCAGTAGTGGTAAATTCTGAAATTCAATGACACGTAAATCATTTTCAAGAGATGCAGATGAAGCCTCCGCATCATATCGGAAAAATATAATCAAAATAGGAATAATATTGTAACTTTTTGAGTCTCTAAATTAATGTTAGCATGGTTGACTGCACTTAAAATCATTTTTCTGTAGTCGGTCATTTACAGTATGGAAAACTATGTAAACATGTATAAATATGTATATGTAAGCAAATACTAACTCCTAGATTCACTATCACCAAACAAGTCAGCACTAAGTATGTGAAAGTCGTCATTCCTTTGTAATTGAACAACCACCAAAAAGTAGAAAAGTTCTGTATTTCGTTTAAATGTAAACTTTTTCGTGACAAATTCATTTAGTTTAAAGATGAAAACTTCATCATCAGAAATGCAATTGCCGTGGTGGAAGTTAAACAGATTTTATTCTCATCCAGGGGGCCTACAACATGAAGTGACAATTTTTTTCTCAGGAACAGAAACCAGTTTACATTACAAATCAAAATATTGTCAGTTGACTGTATGGCAAACATTACTAAAATTGCTATAAGGAATCTACTTTTAGCACACAGCTTTCCACTATCGGCTTAGAAAAGTATTGATAGTCATTTCATTTGTGTTTTTTGTTGTAATTAATTGCTTTTCTCATACGAAAAGTAGACGTATATTAATGTTAGCCATGTCTACGAGGAACTGAGAAAGTTATCTAAGTAGGCACAAAACAAAGAAGTGTTGCGGTTCGACAGTTTCTTTATTTGAACCAGACATAAAAACGGACAGTATTGTTGTTTCCAATTAGATCTTCTTGAGGCTTTACTCTTCTAATTTACATAGATTTACATACAAAATTTTAACCAATGATGTTGATTGTTAGCGGTCACCAAGTGAACGGGAGAAATGCCTTCAAAGTTATCCATTGCATTCCAACGAGCCTGTCGAACATAATTTGAACCCGTCTTTTACACATAGCCAAAACTATGGGAATTCGAGAGAAAAATCTTAGTGTCTGCATACAAAAGGAGTTGGTTATACACTTGTCTTTCCCTTGCTTCGCTTAGGTAAATTCAAATTAAAACCCTCACACATCTTTTTATTCTATATTTCCTTCGTGTTTGAATGATATTTAGCTTCCATATTAGTTTGTTTATTAGATGTGTCACACAGTGATTACAGCTTGATTCCACACCGTATTTTTGGTACAAGTATGGAATTCTCAGCATGTGATATCGGTGGCCCAAATTTTGCAGGCCGATCATAGATATCAGGTGTGAGTCGGCAGGGGATCTAACCTCGGACGATGTGCATGGTCGGCGAGAGTCCTAACCATTGTGCCACCGATGCATATATATAAACGGAAATGCTCGCGAGTGACTTGATACAGGACGGAGTTTCTTGGAGTTCTAGTGAGAAGTAGTGACCACTGATGTCCATCCTGTCAGGAGAGTGAGGATGAATTTCCCATCGATGACATTGGTTAGCGGTTGCGCTAAAAGCAAAAATTTGAAGAAATTAGAATTCATGGGCTGCTGGCCATTTAATCGGGTCCCAGTGGCTGAATGGGCTCTAGCCACCCCCTGTGAGGTGGGTGAGTAGTGCCGATGATTCCCAAAGTGGGATGAAACAGCTGGCTGTCCAGTACTCCCTGGCTCGTTTTCAATGGTTCTCTAACTGATAAAAATCCGTGATCAACTCGTTAAAACAAAACTTACAATACTACAGGTTCATGAAACATCTCAAGTTGTATTTCTGAAGGCATTTAACCTGTTGTATTAATTAAAGCAGAGTTTATTGATTGATTCGAATAACATACTTTCAGCACTTTATTTCACAGCTGGGCTAGCAAACTTAGACAACATCATACAATTCATAACGTGTATGTACTTGCAGGAAAAACCAACAAACTTGCAGAAGACTCTGGTAGCGAAGACAGGACTCCAGGTGAACATTCAGAAGACGGAGGTGATGAAGATAACCAACCAGCAGCAGCAGCAGCAGCAACAACAACAACAACCAGCATCAGTCACCATCAACGGGAAAGGTTCAATAGAGGTTACTTTACTGGATGACGTTTCGAACGAAATTTATTGCTCATAGGTCATATCAATTATAATCACACGACTCTGAAACTTGAAAACTCAAGTTTTACAAATATATATTAATGACATTTATTTAAACTCTGATTATCTGTCCAATTCGCGTTTATAAGTACGTGACTTTTAATATTTGACCTAATTTATTCATTGAATTGTCTGCATATACACATGTTACTAACTTCGTTATTCTTATCACCACGTGCGTAAACCTTTTATTATCATTATGATCATCGTTATTACTGACGTTCAAAGCATTTACCACATTATTATTATTATTATTACTTGATCCAAAGAGTCACCATCATTGGTTAAAATCTTTGCATATAAATCTATGTGAAAAGATCAGCAACAGGGATCTCTGGGAGCGAACCAACCAGGTACCGATTGTGAAACAAGTAAGCTGGAAGAAATGGAGATGGATTGGCCATACTCTGAGGAAACCATCAAGTGATATCACTAGACAAGCCATCGCTAGATTGGAACCCGAAAAGGAAGCAGCGAGTTGGTCGTCAGTGTGAGGGTGACTTGGAGGAGGTCATGTGAGGAGGAGATGAAAGCATGTGGGCAGACTTGGAGCGGAATGAAAAAGTTGGCAGAAAACCGAAGGCAATGGAGACGCGCAGGTGAAGCTCTATGTTCCTCTAGGAATTAAAGGATATAATAATAATAAATATTTAAACATTTGAAATTTTCCATCAGTTGAAAAGATAATCTTATTTACTAACACTGCAGAAGTGTATTTATTTATGGAATCTAGAATAACATTTAAGTATCTTAAGTTTTCATTTTATATCTTTTTGCCCTGAATAGGTGTTTAACATTCTCGCCTATTTTCCTGAAAAACTGAAATGCTTATCTTTTTATCAAACCTTTCATAACAAATTAGATTAGTTTGAATATTTATTTTTTTTCGTAAATTAAATTCTATATTTTATTGAAGCTCACCGATCGTAGCACTTTTATATTTCCACTTCTATTCACTTGGACTGTCAAACTCATCTCTATGCGACGCATTACTGCAATGGGTATTAGTCTAAACTTCCATTTTCGGATGTTACACTAATTCAATTTCCGTACTTTTATCAGAAAATTGTGTATATAATTTTCCATGTTGTGTTATTAGGAATTATTACAACAGAAAGATACCGTTTAGATTTGTGGAAAGAAAAAAAATAGGTTTAAATGTTGACAATAAATTCATGATATCTCATTTGACTTACTCTCCGTATTCACCAATGTACCAATTATGGACAGACAGATTGATAATGTGGCGATAGGATCACCACTAAGACCCATTTTCCTTGAGAAACTAGAGAATGCGCGCCTCAGTTTTTCAGCTTCGTGCCTCTGAGATACAAACACAATGCAATAAAGTGCTTGGTCCACAGAACAAGAGAAATCTGCTCTGAGGAATGTCTTAATAAAGAGCAACATATTACTAAACAGATGCTAAGTGAGAACGGTCATCCAGAAAAATTGATCGGTACAAATATGAATCATAAATCAAGACAGGCCGAAGTACCAACAGTTCAGTAAAAGGCCTTATTCTTACGACCTCACTTCCTTGAGGATAAAATAAGTGAGCTTTTAACACAACGCCTAAGTGAATGAGGTAAAAAGAGCATTCAATGCTGCTAAATTATGTTGTGTATTCAAACCCCACCTATTTTACTTTCGAGAATAAAAGATAAACTGCCTGATTTCGCCTCTTTTATGTGTGTCTACTGATTTGACTGTTCCTGTGAAGCCAGTTACATAGGCCATACAATTAGGCGTGTTTCTCGTCGGATTTCCGAACATCACCTAGGGTAGTTAAGTAAAGAACAAACAAAATCTTTTCGTAGCACAATTCTATCTCATCTTGTAGATACAGAAAACAGGATTGATGTTAATGGAGCTTCCAAAGTCATCTACCGCATACTAATTAATCTCAATTTCACCTTAAGAGTCTGTCTACTACATATTACTGAGGCTGACTGTTGGCATCTACATTAAGAAACCTAACTTATGTATTAAAAAGAAGTTGGTTGATTCAAACACTTTCCTTACCTTGGACAGCAAGGTTTTAATGATCCTCAGTTTGTTGAGAAAGTTTTCTAAATTTTATTTGGTATTCTATCTGCTATTACATTTTTATGCTTATTATAATTTATGCATTTTTATTATTTTTTTTGATTACAGCTTGATTCCACACCGAATTTTTGGTACAAGTATGGAATTCTCAGCATGTGATATCGGTAGCCCAAATTTTGCAGGCTGACCATAGATATCAGGTGTGAGTCGGCAGAAGATCAAGCCTCGGACGATGTGCATGGTCGGCGAGAGTCCTAACCACTGTGTCACCGACGCACACAGTGAACTGTAATTCCGTTGATCTTACTTAACTGTACTCTCCCCACTTGTTTCTTTCTTTGTTTCTACGTGTCTTACCATCTTCAAATTACATTAATTTTGTTAAATATGCTGACGACCTGACTGTATCTTTGCCTGTCAAATTTCAAAGCGACTACTCCAAACTAAATGGCTTTTTATCAGAAATCAGCCAGTGGTCCAAGGAAAACGGTCTAACCTTAAATCCCTCTAAATGCCAAACAGTCAATTTCATCTTTTAGGCATAAATCTGATCTAAACAAACTGGTTAACACTCACGAGGTGTGCAACATAGGTGGCAATGAAATAAAAACCAAGTCGGAAATTATATATCTTGGCGTCATTCTATCTGCTGATCTTTCCTGGTCATCTCATATCTTGATGATTTCCAAGAAAAGTTTCCGTCTTACCTTCTACATCAATAAGTTAAGACATTCTGGTATAAGCCAACTCCTACGATTCGTTAACTCTTGCATCCTGCCTATCATTCTCTATTGCTCCCCCTTAGTCTTTCCTGGGCTATTGAAGAAAGACTATATCTTATTACGTAGGATGTTAAAGGTTGTCAGCAGGGTAAGCAGTTTGCCACTTAGCCAGCTTGTTAATATTCTGGTGGACAGGCACATGGACTCATGTGAAAAATGAGCTAAATCCATTTTATCTAACTCACACCACCCTCTTCATTCACAACTTTCCCCTTGTATCTCATCGCGCAGGCAGACGAGAAGCCTATATAGAAAACTATATGCTCGCACTAGCAAGTACAAAAAATCAACCATAGCCTACTTAGCTCGTGTTCTGTGCGATTAAGAAAGCATTATGCGTGATACCTATAACTTATTAAATAGTCAATAGAACAACTGGATCTCGTCTTTCCAACTCATATCACTTACAGGTGCAGCGTTTTCTTTCTTTTTCTTTTTTTTCTTACGTGCTGTCTTGTTTCTCTCTTCCTTACAAACTCTATTAAAACATTCTTCTTCGTTCTCTCACACTCCGTATATCTCGACGATTTTGTTACCGCTTACGCCAGTAAATATACTAGTGTATCTAGCTTTCTAACACATTCAAACACTCTGTTCAATTTTGGCTTGCTACCGACATGCCAATATGTTGTAGCCTAAGCTAACTGAGATTACCCTTAATCCATGTAGAATTTTATTTATTGTTAATGTACTAAGTGGATGCAATATAGTAGTGAAATGCTGAGAATTCCATTCTGTATCACAAGTACTGTTTTGGAATAAAGCAAATTATTATTATTATTATTATTATTATTATTATCAAATCGATATTATTTAAAAAAACACCAATATTGGTATTGACTACTATTCTAGAATATATATATATATAATTTTAGAGCCAGAAGAGGAAATTATTGAAAAGGATATTCCGTCCTCAATTATTTTGTTTTTTATAGATGTTTGAATGAATATTTTTGCTATAACTCAAATTATTTGAATTTTCTTGTGCTGTTTCTGTGTCTCACAGAAACTTTCCTTCTTCTTTTTTTTAACTCGCCGCATCCCATACATTATTTTCCCTGTCATGGATTAGAATTTTAAGTGTACTGTACAAAATACAGACGGAGAAGGAAAATTAATTTATATTTTTGGCATTTATTTATTTGAAATATTTATCGTTTAGTCTTTTTTTGACACTGGAATATTATTTTCAAAAGTTTGTTCATATGTTAGTTTAGATTAACTAATATTCATTGGTTTGTAGCTGCTGAATTGTAACCACGGTGTAACTGATATTGTGTGGAATTTATGGGTCACAGGATATTGTGTTCGACCAACTAATGTTGACCATCATACAACCATCTTGGAGAAGTTGATTATGACATGATTAGCATACTAATAGAGTAAATGAATCTAGCTATAAGCGATATAATTTTCAACTTTATTGGAAGCACCAATTTCTTCAGAATCTTAAAAGTTTCGAACTACCAACCAGAAAATTTTGGTAATATGATGAGTACCTCTCATTTAATTTCAACGCCAAAGGTAAAAAAAACAAATTTTTAAGTCAGTGAATAACAGTTTCATGTCAACTAGCATTTAGCTTTTGGGCAAGAAACTAGGGACTAGAATTGATGAACATCACGGGTGAGGATATACGTTGTTGCGTGTTATATTTTCCGCGACTCAGTTTTTTTCGTCTTTCATTGGCTAGAATGGTGGCGGTCAATTGGAGTTTGAATTGTCCTTGGGTGCGTGCTGTCGGGTGCTGTCTTTGCGTGGTTGTGTTTGCGTCGTTTGCCAGCATATGTGATTACTATAAACGTGAATTAGACTATTGTAACGCTTTGTTTTTCTTTGTTTGTGCATGTACTAGGCTTTATTTGTCGTACAATTCGTTGTTTGGTCTATCGGTTGCTTGCGATGTCAACGAACCGGTGGGTTCTTGTGTTTTTCTGTAATTTAGGTTATACGTGCGGTATTTTCTTGATGGTTATCGATCATCCCTGTATTTCAATGTTGTTTTTTTACGATTTATCTTGGAATAGTTGTGACATAGATGGATCCTAATTGATAATTTTATTTTAGTCCGTTGCAGGTAGTCAATTCGAGTGACAGGAGCACAGATTTAAGTGGAATTTTTGCTGAATACATACTTGGAAGGCGTTTCTTCAGCTGGGATGAATTTGAGAAGTCATTAGCAGAATTTCAAAAAGTGAGGAAGTCATTTAATGCTAACAATGTAGTTGTCCTGCACTCACTATGTTCATAATTGCAGCAAAACGATACCGGATGACAGATTTAAGTACGCTTATGTTGGTTTTAAATGCACTTTTGGAGTGAATCGTACAAGACCTGGATTGAAATCAAGAAATAAGTCGTAAGAAGAAGTGTAATATGATTTCATGAATATTTCAGGTCTAAATGTTGCAATTGCTCGTCTTCATTTCGCGTGGTTTTGCGTTATAGTGAATACATAATTGCTTCCCACAATATGGTACATAACCATCCATGCAGCAGGGTGTACATGCAGAATGACCCATGGTATAGACGACTAACAGTTGAAGAGAAAGAAAATGTGGAACCACTTCTTCAGCAATCCCACTCATCCGATGAAATAATAATGCATGTTAAGGAGAAGTACCACAAGGATATAACTCGCATCGACGTTAAAAATATGAAAGCCGCAGTTAATAAAGGTAACGTTGACGTACTTGTTAAATACTTAAGGTATTTCGAGTCGTCGTGACATTTTTGAATTCCTAAAATCCCGTGGGAAGTTAATGGAGTATTATTCCGATGAACCGATCAGGAATTCACTAACAAGAATTTGTTTTGCAACTTATGAGCAAATGGAATTGTATAAACAGTTCCCTGAAGTTGTTGGTATCGATTCGACGTATAATACAAATAAAGGGAAGTAAGTTTACCAATTCATTAATCAACGTGCAGGTATTCTTTGTTCCAATTACTTGTGACGGATAATTTTGGTCGCGGACGACCAGTTTTATTTGCGTGGACTAGAAAAGAATTCAAACGAGATGTAGTTTGGATATTAGACTGTTTTCGTCGAATAATGGAAGATACCTCCAAAACAGAAACTTTCATTATGGATTGTGCGCAAGCTGAAATAGCAGCCGTCAAGTTAACGCACAGAGAAGCGCACATTGTTTTGTGTTCTTTCCATGTTTGCCGAGCATTCTGTCGTAAAGTAAGTTTTTCAAAGCATACTTTACATTTTATTCGTAGACAAGAAATCCCATTGTGAAGAACTATTTATGCCGTCTAGTGCAGTGTAAAAGGAGATCAGAGTAATGCCTCTAATGTTCTCATTTTCCAGATTTAATTTCTATTTCAGAGTTATTAGCAGATTGGATGCTACTGTCAGTCAATATCTACAACGTCGTTGGATGCATCGACGAGAATTGTGGGCAGCATGTTTCAGAGACAACGTGCTGACTTTTGGGAATGATACAAATAATCGCGTCGAGAGTTCCCACAAGCAAATGAAACGGTACTTGCAAAGATCAGATAGTTTGCATAAAAGTATGCTGAAGGTGTATAAATGGTATCAACAAAGTTTTGCAAGGATACAGCAGGAGGCGACTATTGCTCAGTCGCGATGCTTCACCTATCCCTGTTCACAACGTCTAATCCCAATTATACGATTGCTGACGCCATACGCTGCGAGGAAGGTTATCCGTGAATACGAAAGGCGACGATGGGCTGTTGTTGAGGTTGAATCCTTCGATTATGTATTCTTCCAAGACAACGGGAATCGAGTGGAGGTTGATCTGAGTGCTTGCACCTGCACGTGTGTTACATTTCAGACTTTCGGTACCCCTGCCGACACTTGCTTTTGGTCCATTTCAGAAAGCCACATTTTACAGGTATATTTGCGTTTTTATGACTCCGTTTTTAATGTATGTCGACCGAAACTTAATTAATTATTGTTCTTATATACGGAAAGTTGTAATTTTCATTACCGTATTCGTGTGTACGATGCCTTAACTGGAAACAGGACACAAGCACTACCATCATTGCACCTGTAATAATCAGTTCATAGTTATCTTAACGTTTTTTGTTCCACCTTTTGTAGTTAACCATGTGATGCAGAATTGTAAACAATGGACGTGGTCACGCAACTTGTTCGCATCTCAAAGTACGTCAGCAGTTATCCCTCGAAATCAAAGTGACATATTGAATACCAAAAAGAGGATTATCAATGCGGGCATGACGAGAATTAGTGACAAATTTGGAGAAGTGTTTGCCAATACTTATGCAGACGGAGTAATCGCAGGAATCAATCGTGTTCTTAATATGTAAATAAACTAAATTTGTATCATAATGAAAATAAAATTTTCATGTAAATCTTGTTGTCTTTCAATTCATGTGTTCACTTTGTGAGCACGGCATGCTAGACCGGTGCTCTCTAGGACTTTAACTACTAACAATACGTAAGTGTAATTGTGTAGGAACGATGTCGGTCATCATACGTGTTAAATTATAAGTATTTTAGTTAGCTAACGTGCATACGTCTCATAGTCATATACAAGTCTTTAGGGACAATAGTAGGCATAACTTAGGCACTGCATTCGAGTTCCAGTTCTTATACGGTTACGTGTATTCGAAAGTATTGCATTACTAATGTTTCACTTAAAGCGTGATGTCAATCCATATGACTAAGGCTGTTAACATGTAGCGTAAATTAAAGTCTACACCAGACGAATTATTGAATTCGTTGAGCTTTAGCAATCGTATTTAGATTTAGCTTACACTAAAATATGCCACCAATTACTTCGTCAGTTCTTATTAATAAGTCATGCCTGCATCTAGTCATCATGACAAATATATCTACACTCAGATATAATAAGAAAGGTCTGGTAAGCAGGATATTAAATGTATTTAATGAAAAATAATAACAAGCAAATGTCTTTACGCAGTCGTTTGTCGTAATAATTTGGGCAATGTCGAATCTCTGTGACCGGGTTGACTGACGTTACCGGATATCTACAAATAAGTAAACAAAGTGTTTTTTAAATCGCTGAAGTAAGAAAGAAGTAATATCAAAGTTAAACGCTTTATATTTGCCTACCTTTGCTGAAAATGGTTCATTCTCCTTTCTCATTCTTTGTTCATGACAGCATTCTTCTGTGGTTTTCACTGCCACACACATTATTCATCTTCTAAAGGATAGCAGCAAGCATATAATAATAATTTCAAATTTCGTATAAACCAATGTTTACAAAGAATGCATGTCATTTCTACAGGCGCAATAAGTTATGTTATAAACTGCAATCGTGAAGTATCATAAATTATAAGAGTTAAATTGTAAACCCTTAACAATGAACACCGTACATTTGGCTAAGTGCTATGTCCTTGGAATGTGAGTATACATTTGCAATGTTTAATGCCAACCATATTGGTGTAAGCATAGAAAATATGACGTTTTCCATGAAAATACAGCTTTGTTCAAACACTGGTGTTGTTGTGTTTCTAATAAAAGCAAATAGACTGTAAGCAAGCAACTAATAGGCACAAAGAGTAAGTCTCAGCTTTAATAAAGGCATATCCAGTTAACATAAAATGCAGTGTAATAGTGCACAAATGAAAAGACCATAGTGAAGTAGATAAGTGATATTTCAGTGAGAGGTAAATTGAAAGATCTGCAACCTTACAATTTGGAAGACAACCTGACATGTAAGATCTCTCACAAATTTCTATAGGGCCTGTGGGGTACCATGGATGGTTTGGCGTCAATCGCAGCTTTGGAAGAATGAGTTACAAATGCAAAAGGTAACAACCAACGAAACTGCAGTAGTATTTTCTAGCTGTTCAGCATTTTTTCCTTTGATGCAGTTTCTTATCAACAGTTTGCAGTATTCAGAACATCACAAGTTGCTTACAGATAACTTGTTTAATAATAACTGCTTTAAATATATGAGCCATAAGTGCATCTTCTACATCTTTCATAGCCACAATTAAGTCATTAAGGATCTCAGAATATCTTAGTGATGTGAAGCAAAATAATTATTAAGATTGATATAACCTATGTAACAGGTATAGTAGTTGTATGACACAGCTGCTAGCTACTAATCGACAGAAATCTGGTACTAATTTTAAGTACTCTGACATTTGAGAAGGACTATTTATACTATTCTTCGAGACACGATGAACACTGATGTCAATATACTCTGATGCCATTTCATGCACTGAGCAATTAAGGCCTTGTGAAATTCCATGTGCAAATGTCAATTAAACTATTATCACATCTTCGCCAAAGCACTTTTAACTAGGAACTTCATCAAAATAGATATAATCACCAGGAAATTCAGCAGCCTATCTCATTCATCGCATAATGTCGTCGATGTGTTAAGAGTATTTCAGTCATCCCGGATGATAACAGAAAAGTTTAACATGTTCAAAGCACACATCTAACCTATGTCTGCATGCTATTTCTCTTTCATAGGCCAGATTCTAATAGATTCACTGGAATGACAACAGCCATTGACTGCAGTATATTTACAACCTTAAGATCTGAAACAACTCGCAAAAAAACAAACCCTCAACGCACTATAATGCAAATAATAGTCTTTCTATGCGAACTTTCTTAAAAAGGATGACTTCTTCATTGATAATTCGTCCGAGCTATAATATACAATTTTACGCTCTACTAAGAACAAAATACAGCAAAATACTGCCATCTGGCTACAGAAGTCTAAAACTAGTGAAATATAATCTATTTCCAAAAAAATAGGCGATTATAACGTCTGTTGCCGTGAACGCGGTAACCGATGGCATTGCGCAATAACACCTGGATACAGCCTATATCCTCACCCGAACATCACCTAGTCATCAGTTCTTGCAATTTCAAATTTCTGATTAACCATGCACTCTGAGTGTACAGAGTAAATTTTTTTTAGATATTTACTAGTAAGACTATTAAGCATGCTTTTATTTTCAATAAAGCTAAGATCATAGAAATTCAGAAATACATATGGGATTTATTAATATTCACTGTATTCTATGGTCTGATTTCACTTTTGATTTAAGGATTTTTTTCCTTCACGTTCCCCAGTGGAACATAGGGCTCCATGCTATTGGCTTAAAGTTTCTGTCGGAGTTCAAATGAACTGTCGTCAAGATTTGACAGAATAGTTCTAAAATGTTTGGGGGCCGAGTGACATGTAGACATTTATAAAAGATTATATTTGTAAAATCTCAGCGAAATTGAAATGGGTAATTCCAACATTTCGTTCGTCAATCTGGTCCGAAATTGTTCAGGGAAATTAATCCAAATTCACATAGCAGAGGTTTGTATATAAAAGGAACATCTCTTGTTTTTAAAAATCTTTGTCCAATCATCAGTCATAAAACAAGTATTAACAAGTATAATAAACAAAATTATACGAGTTGCGATCAAAATTTGACCTCAGACTTACAAATATTGATCTACCTTTGTTGAACACTTTAAACACAGTGTGTATATGTGTGGGGATAAACAGTTGTAAAACATTTCTTAACGTCTCCATAAGAAGATATAGACAGTCAGGAATTTTGACCAAATATTTTAGAACTATTCTATCAAATCTTGAAGACAGACAGTTCATTTGAATTATTCTGCATTCAAATTAAATTAACAAAGAAACTATGTAATTGGCACAATCATCGTGTTTCCACTCTCCATTGTCTGCAACAGAATGCATATCCTAAATTCGTAGCTGTCGAGTCACCTGACAACTCCAGTAGGTCGAATAAAGCAGCTCAATATTCAGAAAGAAGACAAAGCAATAAGTCTGACAGGATGCTTCAACTAAACTCTAATCCTAAACACCATAATTTTGAAAATACGTCTAATCATAAAATTCTAGATACTAGCAGTCTGAACAGACATGAAGGTGTGCTGTCCGCTGATGCATAGGAAATCCTGATTAATAAATAAAAATAGATATGTATCACTAACGAATAATACTTGGTCAAAATTCCTGACTGTCTATATCTTCTTATGGAGATGTTAAGAAATTGTTTTACAACTGTTACCCACACACGCATGCACACTCTATTTAAAGTGTTTAACAAAGGTGGACCAATATTTGTAAGTCCGAGGTCAAATTTTGATCACAGTTCATACAATTTTGTTTATTATACTTGTTGATACCTGTTTCATGATTCATATGACAGGCCAAACAATTAAAAAACAAGAGATGTTCCTTTTATATATAAACCTCTGTTATATTAATTTCGACTTATTTCCCTGAAGTAATTCGGACTAGATTGACGAACGAAACGTTGGAATTACTCATTTCAATCTCGCTGAGATTTTACAAATATAAGTTTTTACAATTTTTGTAGCAGTGTTTATTTTACAGGATGGGGTTGCTAGCCTCATGTCTAACCTTTCCTCTTTACCAGAATAATTTTTGGCTTAGCGAGGTAAAGGAGTGCGTCGGCCGGGGATCGAACCCTGGACCATGTGCATAGTCGGTGACCGTCCTAACCTCTATGCCACCAACGCACGATTTAGGGATTACCTAGTTAGTTTCTTTAGGACTTGACTAAGTGACATTTAAAGTATATAAATGCTCTCAGCTCTCTTCATTTTCTGTCATAGCTTCATTTTACTTGCCAACAGAATTCCATTGTTTTATGTATCTATGATAAGAAGAAAAATAGGATTTATTTAAGTATTCTTATAAATTAGTCATCTAAAAAAACAACACACGATTTGCTTTACAATTTACGGAACACCGAAAAATAAAACACTATTTAGATAAGATGAAGCAGTCAATCTGTCTGCATAGTTTACTATCACGAAATTAGTAAATTTACTTTGAATATGAATAGTCAGACATTTAAACTTTCAAGAAATATGCTTTGTTTTATTTGTGCTTTCTCAGTGCTATAATAAAATCTTAGTGAAATTTAATACTAAATAACTATTTGTGGCCAGATTAAACGCTAGAAATATATATACATATATGTATACTACAAATTCTTTAATCCGCTTAGCTGTGTATCATACCATGCATTGAAATTTGAACGATCAGGAATAGAAGACTTTATCAGACAGTGTCATGTTGCTTTTGATTTTTACAAAAATGCAAATCTCCAATCTTTCAACCGCGTCAGCCGATACAAGTTCATAACTGCATTAATTAGATTAAATCTTTGAAATAATAATGGTGTCTGATGGTTATGCTTCAATGACTGAAGTGAAAACATGAATCTCTGTTAAAATCCAACCCTCAGTCGCCATGATTTTTATATACATATATCAGGACACACCTGATAACAGGGAACTACAGTAAAAACCTAAAACTTCCCAGGCTTTATTTTTCAGTCTTGACAGTTCTTCGAACAAGGGAAAAACT